TAGGCGCAGAGGAAGCAAGGATGGTTTGTAAGAATAGAAAGATATGGGGGCGTAAATTAGTTTTAGCTGTTTTCTTTTCTTTGTCTGATCTCAAGCCTTTAATTTTTATGAGCAATTATTTCTACTGGCCACATAATGCTGCTCACCTTAGTAGAAAACAGCATAATGGGTATGATTGTAGATGTACAATGTAAAAATAGAATAGGTAACCTAAATAATAAATAGCAAAAAAATATATAGATACTTTTGTTAATTACTTTGAGATAGACTATAGAGTTGTAACCTTTAGAATTTTTTAAAAATGCAAAACCATTTTGTTTTAACTGGTGGTGATAAGAAAAGGAAGAGACAAGAAAACTTCTTTTATTCACTCATTAACTTTGAAACATGTACATATGGAGAAAAGACTACTTTTATTCTGGAAATTAGATGTATTATAAAGCCTAAATGGACTAAAGACTAAAAAGATTAAGTCTGGACATGAGAGCTACTGAAGTCCAGATTAATCAGGAAAGAATATTAGCTATCTCTAGCAAAAAGGAGGTCAAAGTTAGAAACATTTTTTTTGAAAATCAACAAATCTAAAGTATATACAAGAACCCCATCAGGAGTTGGGGTGGGAAGCTTCTATATTCAGAGAAAGCAGAAGCTTGTGTATTATCTTGAGCCCCTTGCAAACATGTTAGTGCCACAAATACGTGGTTCTTCACCTTTCAGTTTACCACAACTAAAACTTCTTCTAGAAATAAACTTCCCTGGTATACCATACACAGTAATATTATTTACCATGTGCCTCAAGGATATCATAAGAAGCTTTATTCAATCCTTTCCTGAAGACTTTCACATCTTTCCCATTATTTTTATTTAAACATTTTGTATATGTGTCCATTGTAAAATACAAGTAAAACCCACAACTATAAAAACCATAACACATAACCAAAACCTGGTACCTCAGTCATCCCTTCGGTTTCCCCAATCCAAAATATCCTCACTCTGCCTCAGGGTCAGAGTAAAAAGCCATGTCTTCCTGGCCTTTCACAAGCACAATTTACAGATTAGGTTTAATTCAGAGATTCTCAAATTCTGTGATACCTTGACTCCCTAAAATATCTTTATGACTCCCTTCCTAACAAAACTTGTAACACCAGCAATTAGTTTTATATCAAAGGGATTACTTAACTCAAGGGTGAGCAACTATGGCCCCTTTATGACCTGTGGACCTCAACTCCCAGAATTCCTGAGTCGAGTCCACAGATCCTAAAAGGGCCATAGTGGCCGATTCTTGCATTCACCTATTCCTCACCCCAATAGTCAAATCCTGTCAAAATGGATCTCACTAATGTCTTAATCTAAGTAAAGCAAACTAAATTCTGAGAGGGTGCTGTTTGTACTTACAAGCTTGATTTTTTTTTTTAGTACTACTGTGTCCCACATTATTTTAAGGGACTCTTGGCTGATGGTTTTGTATGGCAGGCCAACCTTTGATGTAGGGAGTGGTACATAGAAGGTCACAATTCTTATTTTTATTGCTCCTGTTTGAGAATCCACACAAAATTAGAGGCAATGGGTAAAATCAGGGCATGCTGAAGACTAAACAAAGTCTAGATTAGATCTCCTGTGATTAAAACAGAAAATTTCTAGTGTACAAAAAGGAAAGGAAGTGTAATAGGAGCTATTGATTGTACAATGGTTTTTAGTAGTCAACAGATCCTTTTCTAGATAGTTGTAGAGCAGGCACTTAATTTATCCTATACATTTGCTCTATATTATTTTTAATAAGATTTATATATAGTCTTTTGAGTTTCAATAACAAGATCAACTAACTGGTCATCCATTGGACTCACCTATTCTTCAAAAATTCTCAAAGATTTTACCAACAGCTCTAAAATAACATGTATAAACTTTCAGGATGTTTATCTCTAGAGAGTTTTACTCTCTGAAGTAAAGGTGCTTTTTTTTCAAACCATGTTGAACAACTTCAATTGCTTTCCAAGACAACCTAAAATTCCTGAAAGGTTGAGCAGATGTTTCTTTATGAACATGACCAAGAGCAGAACAGCACTTCTAATCCATAACTATCTCAAATGCTAACAAAGGGTACTATGGTCAATGATATCAAATGTCATTGAACAGATTGAGAGTACTACCACAACCATACATATGTCTCTCTTGGTAAAAGTTTATTAGGGCATTCAAAAGCTACTCCATAATATGGGTCATAATACTTTAAGACAAAAGATTGATACGATCTGAAGAGCAACCAAAATATGGATCATAATACTCAAGTTTCCTCTAAAAGGTCCTCTGAAATTACAGTATCACTATCTCCCTTCTCTAAATACAAAATAAAGGATACAAATATATGATTATTAAAATTAGTTTGGTCCAAAGATGGCTTTTCAATCAAACTGAGAGGGAATTGTTGCTTCTTGTGTCTCATTACTAAGCACCATCCCCAAAATGACAACTTTTATTACATTCATGCCTTACATTTACTTGCAAAGAGTAGTGGGAAGGACACTTTTCTACAAGTGATAATTGAAAGAAAAATACTGACCCACAAGGTATGGCACAATTAGGAAACTGAGGAAGATAATAATAATTATCATATGCTTATTGCTTTAAATTAGGGATATGCAAAATTCAGCAATTCAGGAAGCAAACATTCCAGAGTACTCCTGAGAATTTTGAACCCTATCCAGGCAATGCTAAATCTCTGCTTTGTGAAACATGCCAGTTTTGGGACCATATCGGGAAGTAAATTCCTTGAACTCGAAGTTGTGAGATATGGTGGCCATGATGTCCCTATCTGGATTGCAAAAATTTGCACATTTCTATGCTAAATTATACATTAACTAGCGTTGACCAAAAACAAAGGCAGCATAAAAATCTATTAAGTAAAAAAAGAACATACTTGACTCAAAATAAAAGTATATTTTAGAAATATTTTGTTCTTTAGCATTTTAAGAAAACTTTAAAAAAAACCTGTATATTACGCTAGTGTGAAATTGCATATATGTGAACAGTACAGGACAACAGGTAGAAATAAAATTTGCAAACTAGCACATTGCTATGGTCAATGAGACTTTGTTCAGGCACATTCATTATAAACTACCAAACTTTGTTATCACTGGTAATTAAGCAAAACAATAAGAAAACATGGTAAAATATATCTACGAAATAAAACTGGCTATTCTATCTGATATTAGTCACTGAGAGCCAGGCAGTATACAAGCTTGATACATTATTATATTGATAAGAATCTTTACTTTTTAATCTTTAAAACTAATCTTATGTACAATAACATCTATAGTCACACAATTAGTGTTATATAAAGAATAGTTTACACAAACTAAATGCAACTCTGAAGTATTAAATACATGCTAAAGTTCATTCAAAATCATAAGTGCATATAATTAAAAATGCATTCCATGTTGTGAGCATGGGTAAACAGCTTTGTTATTTGCTTTCCTGGAGAAGCATAATTATCAATGTCTCCTTGGACAAATTTAATTCAAACATCCTAGTTAAACACTGAATTGTATAAAATATTTCCCTTCTCACTGAGGAATCAAAACAAAGAAAAATCAATAAACACTGAGCTGGTAAAAACATAATATGGATAAACAAAGCTTTATACTTTTCTATGCAATCTATTCTGACCTGTGAAGTTAAGGAAGTTTGCTTTATAAAAATTGGCAAAATTAGCTTAATGTATTTGGAGGGAGGGCAATATGATACTCTTCAAATGTACATAATTCCCTTACTCCTCAATCAGCAAAATCCTACTTGTGATTTACAAGAATTGTAATCTAATCTAAATGAAGGATGTTAGGCTGGAAAAGACTGATTTGGGTATTCAGAAGACCCCAAATATATCTATTGTATCTTATCATTCATTGTACCTATCTATATTTTAAAACCTAGACTATTAAAAAAATCCTTGACATGATAACAGTATAAATGTCCATTTAATCACAACCCCAATAAACTGTATTTTGGCAAATCAAATATTGTTTCCCTTGAACTAAAATATTTTACTTTCAACTTATTTAGTTATGTTAATTTAGAAACAGAAACAAAAATTACCTAAGAACAAATTAAGACCATGTAATCTCAACTAACATTTTGCTTGAATACAATATTTACTCGGAAGTTTAAGTTCAATTGAAATTAATTTAAGGCACACTTAAAGTTAAGTGTAGCACTGTGTCAAACAATGCTTTATATGATTTGCACTCTATTAATACTTATTGGAAATAAAATATAATCAATATTATAATTTAAATTATGTAAGCATATAATATGGGTATAATTAAGAGAGATCAGCTCCAGCAATTATCAATTTAGCAAAACCACAGTACAAATAAAGCAACAGTTTCAGTGTCCTTAACCAGTTTTACAGCAAAACTATCAAAATTAAAAATAGCATCCGACATCCAAAAACGAAGATGCCCATTTTAATTTGAAGCACAGAAGCAGGCTTGCACACTACATTTAAACCACACACTTTTCCACCACCACCACCCCTAACATTCAAGATACAAGGCACCTGCCTTGCTCCAGGTAACTCTACAACTCACCTGGACTGTCTATGGAGAGCAGAGCCCCTTTCCCAACCGAGGCAGAGAAATCCTCCTACGCCAATATTTACTTACAAACGCCACCTTTCCCCAAGTACAACAGGATGAGCTCCCCCACCCCTTTCCTCTGTTTCCTTTGCAGCTTTGGCATTGTTGCATTTCAGGCATCCGCCGCCCTGTTTTTTTTTTCTCTCTCTCGAAAAAGTCCCTTCCGAGTCTCTCTTTCCCCGCCGTCTGTTGTTGGTCTGTATGCAGTCGCCCCCCTTCTACCCCCGCCGCGCTCCCCAACCAGCCCCCAAGGCCGGTGTCGGACCAGCGGAGCGATGCCCCTCTCCCCCCCGTAAAGGATCGACCCTCCCCAACACCCCCACCCAACCAGGAACCCCCACCCACGACCCCCTCCTCCTCCCTCCCTACCTGGGGTACTGCTGTAGGTGCTGTGGCTCCTGAAGCTGCTCTCCGTGCAATAGCTGGCATCATCCTCGTCCTCCATCTCTTCGGGGTAATCGGAATCGTCGTCGTCGTCCATGACCGCCTCCTCTTCCTCGGAGTCGGGCTTCTCCTCCGCCTCGCCGTCTTCCTCCTCCTCCTCGTCGGACCCCACGCTCTCCTCTTCCTCCTCGTCACTCTCATGATCGTCGTACACTACTTTGCCGCCGCCGCCGCTCCTCCTGGACGAGGCGGCCGCCCTGCTTTGGCTGCTGCTGCTGCTCCGGCTGCCTCCGCCTCCTCCTCCCCCCGCCGCCGCTCCAGCCCTACCCCGGCCCCTACCGCTACTGCCTCCCCCACCAGGGGTGCTGCTGCTGCCGCCGCCTCCCTTCCTCCTGCCGCCCCCCCTGGAGGAGGAGGAGGCGGCGGAGGCCTGGCCAGCTCCGGACCCCCTCGACCTGGGCCCCGCAGCCCCAGTCGCCTGGGCCGAAGCCGCCCACCTGCCCCGGCTGCTGCCCCGCAATCGGGACCTCAGACCCCCAATGGGACCCGGCGGGGCGGGCGGAGCAGGGGTGCTCACCCGAGCGGGGACCGCCGGTGGCTGCTGATGTTTGGGCGGCCTGCCTCGCCGGCCCCGCATCGCTGGGCGCTAGCCGAGGGGAGGGAGGGGGGGAGAAGAAGCGAGGGGGCGAGGGCACTCGGGTCCGGCGGGAGGCTGCCGGGAGCCTCCTCCCCGCGGTCGGAGCTCTGGGGGGAGGGAGGGGGCGCCACCGACTTGCGAGGGCCGAAGGCTCAATTCGAATCGCCGGCGTCCCGCTCCGGATCGCCACCGGCCGCCATCTTGTTTCTTCGTCTCTGCCTCGGATCGCTCCGCTCTGACTGGGGGAAGCGGCGGCGGCGGCAGGCCCAGAGCGCCTCACGTGACCGGCTCTCTAGGCTGGCTTTGGCCGCCGGGGGGCGCCCGAGAGTTATCTACGGGGGCAGCGGCTACCCTCGCCTGGCTTCCCAGCCATCTTCGATGCGGAGCGAGCGCCGGTTGCAACCTCTCTTCCATCCTCTCGAGAAGCATCCCGCCTCACAAACCGCCCCAGACACCTGTTAACCCTCCGTAAGGGAGAGCCCCTTTCTACACTCCCCCCCCCGCCCGTATGTGGTTCACTCCCTCAGCGGGCACCTGATAACGTCGAAGAGTTTTTTTCAAGCCCCGGTTGCTCCGTATTTACTTCCTGGAAATGTTTCAGATTCAGAGCCGTTGCCCATTACAACTGGAACGGATTTCCTTCAGAAATTGTGGGTTCTTCATCCCTGGAGGTATTTAAGAAGAGGCTGGATAGCCATTTGTCTGAAATGGTATAAGGCCAGGGTCTCCTGCTTGAACAGGGGGTTGGACTAGAAGACCTCCAGGGTCCCTTCCCGCTCTTTTCTAATAGTTGGATTGGTTTCTTCGAGCAAGGTTTTGTATGTGTACCCGAAGAAAAGTTTGTAAAGTGTCAGGCTGGTTTCAAGAGAGGTGGCATGGAAATGCAATAGCAAAATTATGCTATGCCTTCCTGGTCAATTACTTTTGTCGGGGGGGGGGGGGAGGAGGAAGGGAAGGAAGGAAGGAAGAAAGGAAAGGAAGGGAAGAATACAAGAAGAAAGGGATGAGATGAAGTAGAAAAGCCCAAACCTCAAACTAAGTCATAATGCACTTTCAAGTGTTTTACATATTCCAAATTTAGGAGACCAACCTTCCTCATGGTAGCTACTTCCTGTATCTATCAAACTATTTGTTAGAGCCATCCTTGACCTACTTGTCTTTCTATATCTGCACACTGAATAGAACCAATTTTGAGAATTTTTTAAATTAAGGATTTTACAAAGAAAATAGAAACTGATCCAAATTAATAAACAATAAAAAAGAAAAGGAAGAAAAGTGCAGAAAAACAAAACCAGAAAGCAGCTTTCAATTTCTCCTTCAGTAAATATAAGCACAATTTCAATATTGTCTATTACCCAATTTTTTTCTAATCATCCAAACCACAACATGAATTCATGTTTTCTGTTTTATGCAAATAATCTTTAAGGTATTCCAGTCAGTCATAAATACACCTTTTCCCCTATTATCATAGATGCAAATTTAGCTACTTCTGCCAGTTCCACCATCATCACCAGCCATTCCTGTTATGGGTAATGTCAAACCTTTCCACTTTTGAGCATATAATGTTTTCACTGTGGCTATCATATGTTAAAAGCATGTTCTGTGACTTTTTTCTTGCTCCTTCATGTTCACTTTCAGCAAAGATTCAAAGTACCTTTATATATTTTGGGCAATTTCTCTAGTGACAAATACTAATGATGCATTTTATAAAATTCTTAAAGCTATAACATAAAGTGTTCTAAAAAACAATATATTATTTGCCTACAAGCAAATCAATTAGGAAAAAAGATGTGAAACATTTGATTTATAAAACTTTGGATGAGAAACTCAGGATATATTAGGAAGAGAAATAAAGTTCTTTTTTATATTAATCCTCAACTAACCTAGAACTTATTTTAATTCACAAAAATGGAACAGAAGTAACACTATATTAAATTAAACCTCTGGCTGGGAAGTCTACGTCCCAAAAGATAAAGTAATTTTTATAAACAACTTATGAAGAGAAAAATTGATTTTTTTCCCCAAAGTACTCCCAGGTCGACTCTCGGGACTGGATTTTTTTCCTATAGATAACTGGTGTTTGGTGGAATTGGAATGGTTTCTCCTCAAATGGGGAGTTCTGTGAAAAATATTAAAATTACTTTAATTAAAATTAAAGCTTGGCAATTTACTAAAGAGTTTTTTTATGGATAGTTTAGTTATTTGATGTATGGAGTCAGAAGAATGGTAATTCAAGAGAATATAGCTATATTTCAGAAAAACCAGATCCATTTCAAGAAAAGTGTGATTGGAATTTTGAAAAACGTGACTACTAACATTTCAAAAGTTTGGATGGTCAACATTAAAGTTTTGACCAATTACACTCGGTTTTGTAGAACATTGTCATAAAGACAAAAAGGCTATACAAAGAATTGTTTTTGCTTCACAAATTGAAAAATGAAGATTTCCAGTCATTTTTGAGTGGTTAAAAAAAACCCTAGAATCTTTTTCATTTCTTCTTGGGAAATGGGCAAGACTCTTACTTTATTTATTTACATGTATATCCCAAGTTGGGCAAGTTGGGTTGAAAATGATTGATCCAAAGTCACTTGGCTGGCTTTTGTATTTAAAGTTGGACGGAACAGTCTCCTGGTTTCTAGGTAGTCCCTTAACAAAAGTGTCTCTCAAGTTTTAATTCAAGCAATCCTACTAGTTCAGCCATTACCAACTTAATGTTGACACCGATCATTTTCCAAATTGGGATAGTATTTCATTTTTACAAGAGCAGAGTAGAATGTTCATATCGTGGGATTTTTCTTACTCCTGGTTACTTACGTTACTTACTGGATACCCTAATACAGTACTGGAGAAAGAGCTCTTGCATAGATAAAATAGCACTCCATGCCAATTCCATCTGCAAACTTGTGCAATTATTTATGAACCTTCCTTAATTAGATGACACTTGAAGTGCAAAGTTACCGTGTCTAGAACAGCACCACCTGCTATTCTAATAATCACTGGAAGTCAGACAGCATGTAAATTTAAATAATAATAGAAGATAAATGATTCTGGGTAAATTTCAGTCTGTTCAATGGCAGAAATTTGTTCGGGCTTTATCAGATAGAAAAACTGAAGGAGCGATGAGGATCATCTAGTTTCCACTGAAATTAATATTGAGTCGTTCTGTTAATGGAGATTCTCAATCACCCAGGTCACGGTTGTCCCAAAGGTACTTTTCAAGAGACAACTGGACGTTTTTCTTTGAAGACGTTTCACTTCTCATCCAAGAAGCTTTTGAAGAACTGAGAAACCAAACATCTACTCCTCCCCCTCCCCCCCCCAAAAGTCCAGTTGCCTCTTGAAGAAGCAACCTTGAGTGTCTTTCTGTTGTTCTGGATTTTGGATTGGATTTGGACAAATTGTAGTTTTGATGAGATTTGTGAATATGATCATGCATCTTGAAACCAGTTTATTGAATGAATGATTAAATCTGTTCCTTTTGTCTATTGGGAAAAGCAGTTGTATCGTTTGGACTATTTGTCACATTTTTCTCTGAAACTCTCCCAAACCAGTCTAATGAGTGCCTGCTAATAGACAAGAGACTGTTTGGATATTGGCGATACATTATTCCCCTTTAGATCTCCAACTATCAGTAAATCATTCTAGTCTCTATCTTAAGCAATGGAACTTGTCAAAGTTACAACTTTTGAGGTGGAGCTGAGAACCGAGGTGGCATAGTGGTTAGAGTGTAGTACTGCAAGCTACTTCAGCTGACTGCTAGCTACAGTTCAGCAGTTCAAATCTCACCAGCTCAAGGTTGACTCAGCCTTCCATCTTTCCAAGGTGGGTAAATTGAGGACCCAGATTGTTGGGGGCAATATGCTGATTCTGTAAACTGCTTAGAGAAGGCTGTAAAAGCACTATGAAGCAGTATATGTCTAAGTGCTATTGCTATTTTGACTTGCTCTGAGAGTTTCTCTTTTATGTCTTTATGTTCCTCAAGATGTAAGGAGAGCAATTTGCATGACTAAGTTTGAGTTATTACGCTTCTTCTTTCCAGGTCCAGCTTATGTGTAGTTAGTTTATAAAAGCCATCTTTTAAAGATTTTTTTAGAATTTTAAAGACTTTAAAGACGAGGATAACTGTAGAATTTTGAACTCCTGCCACAAGTTCTTACTGCATTTCAGATATAAAGTTAAAAGGTTGTCTTAGAGCAGGCCCAGGTGACATTCACACATTCATGAGTCTCTCCTTAAGAAACTGCATCTTATCCTGGAGTTGTTTCCAGCCTCATGATCCAGGAAAACATGCATCTGATTTACGGAAGTACCAACTGTGCATTCCATACCTGCTCATACATCCCTTTTTGGTTTGGAATCCAAAGCCTGACACATTCCTGTTGGTTAGTATCAATTTAATACGTTTTTGTTATACTGCTGTAGAATTGTGAAGTACCGTATTTTTCGGACTATAAGATGCACTGGAGTGTAAGATGCACCAAGATTTCAATGCCCCTGGCCCCAGGAGCATTCTGCAGGCCTCCCAAATCTGCGTGCCGAGTTTTTGTGAAAAACAGGTTCGTTTTTGGCAAAAATGGGATGTGCGGGGCAGGGTTTCAGGAAGGCAAAAATGGCCATATTCAGTGTATAAGACGCGCCAACATTTCCATCTTTTTTAGGGGGTGAAAATGTGTGTCTTATACTCTGAAAAGTACATTAGTTTTGTTTATAAGCTGCTCAAATTTATGCCATGAGAAACTATAAATGTAACTTGTAGAACATCATTCTAGAGACAGTATATTTCCCCTATAACATCATTTGGTATATTTAGTTTAAGAAAGGCCAAATTACGTTTATATCTGTAGTCTTCAGATAAGATGATTAATATGACTTAATAGGGAGAAGATAAATGTTCATCAGAGTGAGAAACACACCACAAGAATTTCTCTGAAATAGAATAAATGGCTCTTTACAAGAGATTCATAATAATAATTTAATGAAGTTGTGCGAATTTCAAGTAAGCTTTATAACTTCTATGGAATATAAACCCTTGTCTTCTGGGTGGTTTATTCTCTGTAAATGTTTCAGACTTCCTTCAATCTTGTTCAGTTCTGAGTAAAAATGTACCTAAAAAGTAAAAGTAAAAATTTTAGTCAACAAGTAAACTTGCATTTTAATATATCATTCTTCATGAGAACCACGTAATAACTGTCTATGTAGAATGAGTAAAACAGCAGAGATTTATGTTTTTTGTAGGAATGGGAAGATAGATCTAGTATCCCTGTTGTTTACAATAATTACAATCAATTTCTGCTTGTGATTATGGTATTAACATGGAGGAAAACTTACTTGGGCTCTAACAAACTTGTGTAGCTTTGAAAGCAACCCTCTTGCTTCTGGCAGCATAACAACAACGGTGAAGTGAGCATCTAGTAGGAGGCACAACCAGTCCATAATCTGAAAATAAAGTCAAAATACACAATCACCATGAACATTTTAGTATTTAGCCACTAAAATGCAAGTCAGTCTTCTATGTATACAGAATTTTGTTGTGTACCTTACTTGCAGTTCACTCTTTTAATTTCAGTGTTGAAACTAAAAATTTTCAAGGCAGCATAATTATTACTTTTATTTGTTTGCAATTATCGTAAATCTGTGAAGAATTTACCAAATTAGGTATTTCTATAATTTTAATCCCAGGCAAGAGTGACCTTCACATCAGCGCAAATATATTTCTACTACAATTTCCAATGCCTTTTCTCCCATGAAATATAGAAACATTACAGCAATGCAATCTCACTCATAATCACAGCTAGCTGATCAGTTTGTTACCACACATTTAACTAGAAATATTTTGCTATGCTTTAGTTTTTAACATAGGAAGTACAATTTGGGCTACTAAAAACTAGTTAAAAGTGACATCATATTACAGGATGTTCCCAACACATATGGTAAATCAAATAAAAACAAACAAAGGCATTATAGGTAAAGCTCTAATGCAATCACTACAGTCAATGCTTATATTGTTTACAGGATGCCACTCGTGATCTACAAGCAAGACTAGATTTTCTGTATTAATGGTTTCTTCACTTACAGTACAACAATACATTGAATCAAATTTAGCCATCCCATATTAAATTAATAAGAATAAATAGGCCTAAATCTGAATTTACCTGGATTGAATTTAGTAATAGGTGGCAAACAGATCCAATTAATCATTTTCTTAGACAGTCTATTATTACAGTGAGAGCTGGAAAAATTATCTCATTTTTCCAGAGGCACTAAATCTGAGTATGCACCTCTTAAAAGATTTCTTTGGGCATATTTAAGAATAAGTTGATAGCTTTCGTAGTAAAAATTCTCTATACCTGTTGTATAGTCAGATGAAGTATTCCAGGGAAGTGTGTGGAAGACTCTTTACTACATTGCACATATACGTACTGAAGATACTGGAGGAATAACTAAAAAGAAGACAATAACATTAGATGTTGCTGAATACAACTGTATATACAAAGATCCTTTCAGTCATTTAAAAAAAGAATGAATTGTTTTATTTGCTGGTATAACTGAGACACCCCATATATCAATAAGCAAAATAAATATTTTCCAGACAAAGTTCCTACAGCAAAGTTCCCCTGACCTTTACGCCTTTGCAGACCACCCCCCGGGTGGGTGGGTGGGTGAAGGAGGGGGGATAGTTTTGCATGAGCGGCAGGCAAGTGTGCGCACAGTTCCATTTGCTTGTCTGCTGCTCATGCAAATGAGGATGCACACATACTTGCCCAACACTTCTATGGCCCAATTCCAAAGGGTTCAAAGCCTGGTAGTGGGCTGCAGCCTGGGGGTTGGGGACCCCTCCCTCCTTTTTTGGAATACAGTAAAGTGAATTTCAGTCTGGATTCTCCTCCCAGATAAAGTCTGATACATACAAAGCAGTCCAGGTGTGGGAGTTAAATTTCTGTTAATTTTATGATGTTCATGTGATTACACAAATATTATTTGTGCATTATTTATATTGACATAATTGAAATTTAACACACATTCATACATAACAGGCATCTCTTCTGCTAGAAGAGAATAAAAATAGTTATCGGCTTACAATAGTTCATTTAGTGACCGTTTTTTACACTTACAACTGGGTATCTTAACATCTTCTGTATCTAAACATTAAACTATCAGATATAAAAGGGACAACTTTAGTGAAGTGTCATAATCAAGTGTAAAATTAATTTGAATTACTGCATTCTGAAGGCACAAACCAATACTTACTATGACTTCCTTTGCCGAGAGGTCTTTCAAATGAGGTAAAATAAATGTTTCACTGTAAGCTGAACAAATAATTGTATTTCTGCATAAGGTAGAGATACTGAGTCAAGGATATACTTCTATTCAGATGTGTCTTATTTTATCCCTTCCCCCCTTTAAAAAAAGTACTTTTAAAATTCAAATATATATATTTTAAATTAACAAGTAAAGCAGCCTTTGTTTGTCAAACAAAGACCTGAATGATCCAAATTACAGAACAAGAATCAAAACCTGGGCACTTTGCAAATTAAAACTGCTGGTCCTAACAACAATTCTACCAAGTCTTTCAATCTACCAGAAAGAGAAAAAAATGTGACCAGTCCTTTACCTATATAGATTAGAAAGAGTTAACAGTGATTATGCATGTTGATATTTCTATGCATACATCATGAACGCCAACGTCAATTTTACAGTGAAGATTTAGCAGAACCAAATAGCAGTATTGCTACTTCTTGATTCAAGAGAAAAGAATTCCTTTCTGCAGACCGCTTAGTGTAGAGAGATAAAGTTGGGACTGAGGAGGATGAGTTAAAAATAAACATATTGAGAGGTGGCTCCTCAAAGAAGGAATGCAATTAAGGAATGCAAAGACTTGTTTGGTCTTTATCTTTGCAATCAGATATTGTAGCAATGCAGCAGAGAACAGTACATGTAATCCTTTACTTTTCAGAGGAATTACTATAAGATTTACTTCTCACTGTATCCATTTGATTCTAGCACAATAGTGGGAGACTTATGGCTCTACAGGTAATTTCCAAAACATCATTCCTGAGTAGACACATTGCCTAAGGTGTGGCTCAAGCAAAATTGTTAATATTCTAGTGTGGTGTGCTAGTAAAGTCTAATCTTGTGGCACTTTGTTGAAAAATAACCATAAGACAAATGAGGTTAGCAATTAAGACACTTTCAGACTTTAATAAATCTCATACGCAACTTTGCTTCAGCTGCATACATATTTTTGTATCAATACTGGTAAAATTTGTTACGGATATGATAAACAATCTAAATACAATCCATAACAAAATCTATTTTCACATATTATTTAGGTCAACCAATTATTTCTATTAAAAACAAGCTACATTGATTGGTATTTCAATATTTTATTTAGACTTTTAAAAAAATACCTTACTATATTTTTTAAACATAGCTATTTCAACAAATGTTCTTTATGTAGTGGTTTCCTAAATGTATACTTTTATGTAAATTTTGGAGCCAAGACTGAAAGAAGTTGCTAGAATTTGTTCATTGCTTTTTGGTGCATTATTACATTTTGCTTCCAATTAATAATAATAATAATGTGTGTGTGTGTGTGTGTGTATGTCAGGGACGTGCAGTCAGGGGAGGCGGGGCCTCACCAGTGTCATGAGGAAAAGAATTTGTAAAGTAATTAAGAAGGCTAAGGTAGTTGGTGCCAGACTCGAGAGTCACAGTGACTGTGAGTCTCCTTAGTGCTAACTG